AGTGGCAGCTGAACGAAGATTTCAAAGCATACTTTCAAAGTGCGCTTTGAATGTCTTAAAACAAAGCATACTCTTTTTGGATGGGTCTTAGAACAAAGCATACTCTTCCAGGTCAGCCACTTTCAACTCGAGAACCAGAAAAGCTAGAAGGCTGAAACTTTGGAAGTATGTGCCCACACCATGTGCGAACCTCCCGTTTTAATATCATCGTCCGCATACGTATTGTTTAGCACTATTCCTCTAATTTCAAATGGTACAATAAAATATCCTCAGAACACTTGATGAATTTTCATAGCTGACGCTTTTGAAATCATCAAAAACTAATCTTCCCTATGCGCCTATGCGTTTTCTGCAGTACATTGGTATTTTTCCATTTACAAATCGTAAATTCCAACCCTCACTAATCTTATATTCCTAACATGTTTTGAGCTATGGACTGATTATTTAACGTATTTTTTATCACTGTATTCCTAGCAGCTGAAGAGCCTCATCGCGATCTACAACAGGAATGTCCCAAGTGATTGCAACCAGATACCAAGAGATCTCGAAACGACTAAAGATCTACCAGATATTTCTACTTTAAGATCAGCTTTTTTTAGAATAAGACGAAGCGGATGACAGAATCTCCAACAGAAAGACCACCAAGCAATGCAGCACTGGTCAAAGCAAGTAGAAAAGTTGCCAAAGATGAAGCAGAGTGTTAAGAACTGACCCAAATAATAAAGCAAATCTTCCAAATAATGAAGTAAATTATCTATTTTCGCTGTTTTCTTTTACTTTCTACAATTTCCGTACATTTAATAAATATTTGAAATTTAACTCTGTGTCCTCATTTACCTCAAATGGCATCATCCCAAACAATAGCAGCATTTATTTCCGTAATTTTACAAAATTATTGAAAAATTTGTTTTCCACGGATTCATATTTGAGTCATTCCTGAACAATTTAACAATCTAAACGAAAGTATTAGTTTAGCTGAAAGCCCGAGGAGTGTCTGGAGTAGAAATGTGAAGGTTCCAGTACTACTAAGCCCCACTAGTCGCCAACAGGGACTGTAATAAGAGCCAAAGAAACAAAAGGTTTCATTTGCAAGCAACACAAAATATTAGTAACAACTATCGGATAGTAACCCAACTTACATACCAAAATGAGTACAGTCCACAAAAAACAACAAAATTTAACGCAAAAAAAACCCAGGAAATTTTAATATTTCACAAATTTAGCAAACAAAATGTGCAAAAAAATTTATTCAAAAACAAAAGAACCATAATGCCTGTTCCAGTCCTCGTAACTTTTGAGATCCTCCGGAACAACAGTCGGGCGAACAACGCGTACTGCTGCTTCAAAATCACTGAGAGCGATCGACCGAATCTAAAAGCAAAAAAAAAAAACAAATTCTCCGATTCGGCAAAAATCCCAAATGATCCGGGGAAAATATTTCATTGAAAAGCATGTTTTTGAAATTGTCGTAGTATTCTTGTAACTCAGCTACAAAAGTGCAAATAAAAGCGCACGGAATTGCAAGGAAATTTTGCGCAATAGCCTTTTTTTATGACAAAATATAACTTTAATTTTACCAACCCTTGTCTACCACAACGCTGACATTCCTATTTGAAATGATCACTTATTAGTTGGGCCTGCATGGCCCCTTCTACCCTTCAAAAATACAAAGATAGCCAGGATAATCAGTGTGTGTGTGCACGTGTGTATGTGTGTGTGTGTGTGTGCGTGTGTGTGTATGTGCCTGTGTGTATGTGTGTGGGTATTCCATGTAAGTGATGTCATTGCGATGTTGCCAAACATAAAGCAGAAAATTCAACTATGCTAGGCTTTTCGATCCTGGGCCGCATACCTGTAGTTAACATTCAAGCATTTTTGATGTATTTTAAAAGGAATATGAAAAAATATCAAAAAAAAAAAAAAAACCAACATCACTGGCACTGATTGAAGAGATATCCAGAGATGACGAATCGATAATGTTACGCACCGGGCCCATAGCTGCTTCTGTACACAGCTGCTTCATGTCGGCACCCGAATAACCTACAGCAACAGAGGTAGTTTTATGTGGGCTGGTCACTGAGAATATATTATTTATGCAAAAACTGTGTAGCACGACGCAACAAACAACGCTTCTACATGTTAAGGTAACTTGTCGTGGTCTAGAAGTGGCAACGTCCAGAATCGGACGGTGCTGCTCAACGATCCAGCGACATCTCGAAACAGCTAAAGCCATCTAAAGTGCTTCTGTCTCTCCCTCTCGTCTGCCGTGAACAGAGCTCTTTCTCAAAAATTGTTCTGCACCAGGAGGGAATTGAACCACTCCTCTTCATGTCCGGACGCATTGCGTTACCACTACACCACCGGTCCTTGCGTTGCAGGTTCAGCCCAGTAAGCACATCTACTGTGTATCTGCATTTCAGGACAAGATACACCTTTCTTTTCTTCTCTTTTCCTTTTGTGGTGGCTTCTTGACCGGCTTTCCGCGGGTTTTCCGCGATACCGCCCTTTCATTTTCCATCCTTTACCCCCTTCTTTCGGCTCCCACCTTTCCCCAGTGACATTATCAAGTTGCTAGCACTGCATGGAAACTCAAATGAACCAATAAAAAAGCTAGAGTACAAGAAAAATATTAACTTCTTAGCTTTTAGGCACTAACCTTCTGTAAGTTTTGCAATGCTCTCAATATCAGCATCAGTAAGTGCATGTTTCTGATCATCGAGCAACACGCGAACCATCTGTGCTCTTGCAGCATTACATGGCAAACCAATGTACAAGCGTTTGGCGAAACGGCGCTTAACCGCTGCATCCAATTCTTGAGGTCTTAAAAGAGAAAATTTTGCATCAGCTTCATCTACTATTAGCGCAAGTTGGTTCTTTTCATACCGCTCCGACCCTGACTTTTTCCTGTGTTTTACAGTCGGTTACATTATCAGAAATGATGAAATCTTCGCTATATTCGCTCTATAGTTAAGTGATAAACAAGGCTTCCATGAAGTACGATTATGGCAAGTTTAATAAACTAGTACCAATTTATGAGAAAAACGAATGACCAAATTGTAGAGGGACTAACTTTCAGCGCCGAATCGTCGATCTCTAAAACAAGAACAGCACTAACTGATACTACGCTATTTCGGTAGAGCTTACGTGATCATAAAGGGATGGATTCACAAAACTTTTTCACCATAAAATTCTTTTTTTTTTTCTTTTTTTAGATAGAATTTCCTTGAATAAAATTTAAAAAAAAATTGCCTATTAGTGGCTCCTAAAATCAGGACTTTCTCGTCCGATGTTGTTGCAATACCATCTAACCGAATTAAAAATTCCGTTTTAATACGCCTTGACGATTCATGCTCCTGTTCATTTCGACTAGTAAGCAGTGAATCAACCTAAAAAAAATTTTTTTTTTTGCTAAAAACACAGCCAAAATTGCCGAAAAAAAGTGAAACAGGGAAATAGCTTTTCGGGAAAACAGAAGGTGAGGAAAGCTATTCAATCGGGTTTGGTGAAAACGCTATATTCATCCATACGAAAACCAATATGAGATTTTTGTCAATGTGGTCAAGGGGACGCAAAATTTCGCCAAAAAAATAAGAATTGCTTAACCGCCCTAGAAAATGAAGGATGAACTGGAAAATACTATAAAATAAGCACATTTTTTTTTTGAAAAATTCAAAACAGTACGCGCAAAATCACTGGAGATTTTGATCTCAAAATTAAAGGATAATTCTTTCTCTGTCTATTTTAAGGATAATTCTTCCTTCCACAAAATTAGGGATAATCCTTCCTCTTTCTAATGGAATGCAATACATCTCAAAATTTCTCAAAACGGCTAAAACTAGGTTTGGGACCCCATCAAACGCAAATGCAAGTGGCCTCTACCTCATCAATGAAAATAATCGACGGTTGCAGGACACGTGCGACAGTGAAAAGCGCACGAACGAGTTTCTCGCCCTCTCCAACCCATTTCGATGCAATCGATGATGCAGATATGTTGAAAAATGTCGCTTTACATTGAGCAGCAACGCAACGTCCTAAAAAAAACTGGCTTTAGCCGTTTCGAGATGCCGCTAGTGCATATTTTAAACAAAATCGCTTCGTTCCAAACGCTACGATTTCTGGACCACCGGTTACCAAAGTAGGGGATGGAGATAGATTTTAGCGAAGCTATTATGAAAACCAAGAAAATCGAAGTGGAAATCCATTGTCACTACTGTTAATAGGACATTCATCTCGGAATACATAAGCTTTCTTTCCTCTTTCCCTTTCCCCTTTTTCCTTTTCACCTCTTTTTCCTTTTTCCCTTATTTCTTTCTTCTTTCTTTCGCCCCTTTTCTTCCTCTTCTTACTCTTTTCCCAACCCCCTCCCTTCCCCCTTCTCCCCTTTTCCTTCAATAAGCACCGTGGCCGTCATACTGACGAGGTCCAGTCGCCGTGTTGAGTTAAGACGTATATAACATAATAGACCAAAACGTCTTATCTCACTTCTTATTTCCTACTCTTACTCTGACTTCCAGGGATTAACCTGGATTCTATGAATCATATAACGTAGTTCTAGTATCCATGACATGAAAGAGTGATAATGTGAAATAGTAGAAAATAAGAGCAACTGCGTGCTTACCAATCATTGTTTTGCCGGTACCAGGCGGCCCAAAAAGTAAGACACCTTTGGGGGGCGCACGAATTCCAGTGAAAATATCACTGAAAAAAAGTGAAATTATTCAAGAATATTTATTAACGATAAAATCCAGTATCTCTTTCAAAAAACCAAGGACCACTCTCTCTGGCTCGCCAATTCTTTAACCGTAATATCCACAAATCGCACTCCGTCTTCTAACTGACGTCCCCAGCCGCCGTCAAGAATGTGTGTGTGTGTGTGTGTGTGTGTGAATGTGTGTGTACGTGTGTGTGTGAATGTGTATGTGTGTGTGTGCGAATGTGTGTGTGCGAATGTGTATGTGTGAATGTGTGTGTATGTCTGTGTGTGTGTGTCGTGTGTGTGTGTGTGTCAGCGTGTGCCACAAAGGTTGCTCAAAAGCCGCTCCTTTCTTGTGGATATTATCCACTGATACGAAACGTCCACTGTTATTTAACAAGGCAAATAACATAAACAAAGTTGAATTTTAATTTTTTCACAAACTTTTTCACAGCTTTTCACTCGTCTTAAGTAGCTTGGGCCACCCATTATTCCTCACCCAATGGTACTCAATAAATTTGTGACTGTGGTTCGCGTACACAACGCTAAAGTACAGGGAAGAAAAATCAGTAATTTCCACGAAACTACGCTGAAATTCAAGAAATCAACAGAAAAATACCAGTCAGAACTTACGGCCTCAAAAAGGGAAGAACAATGACTTCTTTAAGTATTTTCTTGACTGATTCCAAGCCAGCAACGTCTGTCCATTGAATATGTTCTCGTTGCGACATAATCTAAACATGTTGAAAAAAATGTTTTTTTTTTTTAAAAGGCCTTTGTATCGGTCTTTTAATTTCAGCAGTGGGAACCGATTCACATGGAAATCACCCACTTTGCATTTATGTTCGTAAACAAAAATTTCTTCACTGATGCGTGTTGCTGTTTAGTTAGCACTATCCTACATAAATCCAGACCTTCCTTTTTGCGCCTTAAATTAATAAAAAAAAACCAAAAAAAAAATTACAGAACTACAAGCAGAAGGGGATACCTACTACTACGGTGGAAACACAAACAAAGAGAGCACCACGAAAAATCAACAAAACTGTAAAACAATTTAATCGTAGTGCTTTTTAACAGATTCGCAATGTTACTGAGATGACCCGATGCGCTAACGCACAGCTACGTCAGACAGGAAGAAATTATATCGGCTAAACCTTTGCAAGGATATTCTATGTTCACGTGTGCTCTTAATTCAGTTTGGAGATGAAATTCCCCACACAGAAACATGACAAATATTCAATTTTATCGCAAATTTAAAAGTGAGTGCATAATGCAGATTTCAAAGTCTTCTCTAAACTTCCTTTAAACTTGCATTCTTTCGATGAGCGAGCACTCACCAGAAAAAACGACCGGACTTCATGCAAAAAGCTGATAATCAAACACAGCGGAAGCCCATATGGTCCCATAATGCAACATCTTCATCCCAGCCGATTTCCTTTCCCCTTTCTTACGAGAACAGGTCAAAACAGACCCAATATGAGTTCAAGTGTTAAATTACAGCGTAGGGACCATTCCTACTGTTAGCGATCTGCAAGTTTAGCCCAAAAACGCATGGCTGTACCGGCAAGGGAGCCTGGGTTTGTGCTACAGGAGTAAACAACACACAAACTAACCTCAGTTTCAATCATGTTAATAATATTATCATCGAAATTTTTCAGCAATTTATCGGCTTTCCAACCCTCCTTTTTATTTGACACTGCTTCTCCGGTTCTTTCCAGACTGGGTTCTTGCCCGATCGGGCCTGGTATACCGAACTTCGTCATAGGAGCAAACGTCTTCTGCATCGGAATTATTTTCCCTCTACAAAGATGCATTTCACGTGATGTTCAATAACAGGTACACACATACACAGACACTCATATATATATATATACATATTCATACAAATACACGCATACCTACACAATACAAACACATTCATGCATACATACACATATACACAGACACAAACGCATATGCAAACTCCCATGTTCTTTTTTGAATAAAAAACAGAAATTTTTTTTCACCTTCCACCCAAGCAATTTCGTGTTCCATCGTTCTGCGCACCACTCGTAGCCTAAAAAAAAAGCTCAGAATTAGGTAGAAGATGAATTTAAGTGCTTTTACAAAATTAAAAAGCCCTGAGGGTGCCCCCATGGAGCTACGATTTCACACCGAAAAGCGATCACAGATCAGGCATAAGATCCGCCAGGGTTTTCAATCCTCAGCTACCTGAAGCTGTCCGCTTCTTGGATTTCTTCACTGGCCTTAGCACCACTTTTCGATGGCGCAAACGCTTGGGAGATACCAATCACTCTCCCTCCTCCCCGCTTTGTTTTCCCTCC